TGGTTCCCAGGGGTTAAGGATGGTTGGGGAAGGAATGGAGAGATGGGTATGACTATCAAGGCTGGCCCAAGGGAGATCTTCATGGTGATGAGTATTCTGTATCTTGATTGAGTGACAGTTAACAGGAACTTAGGTGGTGAAATGACAGAAATCTATACACAGGCATTATCTCATGGTGAGCTTCGTGGTTTTGACTTTGTTATATTCTAATTATGTCAGATGTAACCATGGCAGGAAACTGGGTGAAGAGCACACAGGGCTTTTCAGTATGATCTGTGCACCTTCCTATAAATCTATCATTATTTCAAAAGAAAAAGGTAGTTTTTTAAGTTACTAAAATCTTATAAAACTGTTGGCATACTAAGGTTAAAGGGATATTTTGAGGTGTTCAGTTTTAGGTTTTGCTTTTTGTCTTGTGATTTTGTTTATTTTTTTCATGTTAAAGTTGGTTGAACATATAGTTATTTTAAGCGCTTGCGTATTGTCTTCATAATTTATGGAATCAGAAGTAACAAATTTTGCTGTGGATTTTCTGCCACCTTGTCACTTGTTTTATTTTTTTTCTTCTTAGTATGTACCAAGAGTTGTAACCTCGGCACAACAGAAAGCAGGAAGAACTATTACAGCCCGGATCACAGGAAGATGTGATTTTGCTTCAAAAAATAGAATTAGCAGCAGTTTAGCTATAATGGGAGTTTCTCCTCCCATGAGCTCAGTTGTTGTGGAAAAACATCATCCAGTCACAGTGGTGAGTTCACATTTGATGACCTTTTGTCAAAAAGTCTTTTTCCTGAGAGTTCATAAACTAGTAAAAACTTACATAACATGTTGAGAAGATAAAAATTCATGATGACTGGTACTCATTCTGCCTTTTCCTGTTCATTTTTTTAATACTTGTATTTATGAAACCTGCTATAAATCTACCTTTCCGCCATTGGGAAATTAATTTCAGAAACATTGTTTCTTTCAGTGTAAAAATTATAAAATACTAAAAGGAATCCAGTGTGTTTGTGGTCGAAAGAGTAAAATATGTAAATGATTTATTATCAGTTTTAAAAGAGACAAAAATTGTTCACTCACTAGCCGCTCATGTAGCAGATACTTGATTGTAAGTTTTACCTACATTTTATAGTTTTTAATTTTTGTTTCTTTTTTCAAGAAAGTATTCCCCTTTTTCAATACAATTCTCAGTATGTTTTTAGTTAAAATTTAAGTTGCAACAAATGCAGGTGATATAAAGAAGGTGCATTGAATTTGAAGCAAAAATTTTAAAACCTAAGGTAGTGCTTCAACTTTGCTACTTATTGCCTTTGTAATAGATACAAATCAAGTAAATATCTGAGCCTCCACTTTCTCTTCTGTAAAATGGGGTTAATAAGAATAGTTAGCTCCTAGGGTTATTGTTAGGATTCAAGATTAACTGAGATAATGTAAAAATTAAATGAGATGTATTAAGGCATTTTTTAAACTATAAAACCATAAGCAAGTTTACTGAAAGTTACTAGAAAAAGATACATGGGATATCTCTGAATTATTTTCTACACATGCATACGAATCAACAATTATCTCAAAAAGTATCATAAGTGTGATAAGAACATCCCTAAAGAGGAAGAAGGATTTTTTTGGGTGGGGGGAAGGTTTGCTCTTGTCACCCAGGCTGGAGTGCAAGGCTCAATCTTGGGTCACTGATAGATTCAAGCGATTCTCCTGCCTTAGCCTCCCAAGTAGCTGGGATTACAGGAACACACCACCACACCCCGCTAATTTCAAGAACTGATTTTAGAAGAGAGTGCTCTCTATAAATTCTCAGCATTAGACAGCATTCCTGTGTACTTACTAAGTATTAAAAAAAGTATATGGAATGATTTTAAATCCTTTTTTTCCTGAATACTAGATGGTTACTAGATGATTAAATGAAGACAAGCTGGACTGATTTGAACTGAGCTTCAGGTGAAGTAGGACCTTAGTGAAGTGGAAGGCTAAAGATAGAAGCACCTATCCAAGTCTTCTTGGAGATGATGGAGGATTTATTTTAGGATTATCTTAAGATTCATGTTTTATAAATTGGACAGACTCTGAAAGTTCATAGAAGACTTCTATATATTTTTGAATATGGAAGACAAGTTATCAAAAGTGAGAAGAAACCCATTTCTGTTTTTTCAGGCATAAAAAATGTATAGAGATCGTGAGAGACTGTCCATTTTTGAGGTAAAGAAGGCGTAAAAAGAGCACAACCTTTTGTTTTGTAATAATGATAGGAATTCATATTTTACAGAAGAAAAATCAAAGAACTAAAAATTTAGAACCCTTGTTTCTGATACTTACCTCCCGTGCTGCACTCCCTTTATTCAGTACGTGCATTTCCTCCCCCTAATTGCATATGAATCAGATAGCCATCAGCTGCTTCCATTCTCACTTTCTAAGAGGTTTCATTCTTTTTTTTAAGCCAAAACTATAGCTTGGGGTTTTTTAAATATGTAGTGAATGTTTTGACCAAATATATATAATTTTACTTCGAGTGTTTTAATAATGACTTTTCTAAGTGGAAGACCCTAGTAGAAATTGATATGTGCTAGTCAGTGACGTGGAGTGAGAACTTACCTTAATAACAAATCCCACTGCTAGCTACTAAGAAGCTTTATCGGGTTTAATGGGGAAAAGTCTTGTACTGATACATATTGTGTATACGTTTGCATGTAATGTGTACTTGTGTACATAGTGTGTACTTATACATATTACATGCATATTATATGTGTGGACTGAGTCATGTATGTCCGGACTTGAATGCTTCAGTGCTCATGTCTAAGGTGTTCCTTTGAGCTCTGAGGTGATGTGCATGAAAATTTTAGTCAGCTCCTGGGTGAACCAGGTTAAATATGAGGGCTCTGGTTCAAAGCAAGGACCATACTGCATCTGAGGGCTTCCCTGTGTCCCTGGGATTGGTCTCCACATACTAACAGTCAAGTGGAGAGAAGGAAGCTGGATGGAATGAGGAGGGTGGACTCAGGACTGACCCCTCTTCCAAACACCACAGAGTTCCTCTCTATATACAGAGCCTCTGTACACATTACAAGATTCTACCTGGTCCTATTGAATGAATGGCTGCCATGGCTTTTTTTATGATCCTTGCAGATATAGCTCTGCTATTACATTGTGGGTGTTCAACACATCAGTCAGACTGGGTATGGGTTCCTTACAGAGAAGGGCCTTGTCTCATTTAACAGCTGCTTCACTCTGCTCATTGCTTCTCTCTACTGGATCTTAACAAATGTGTGTTGGATTAAATTATAGATCATAGATGATGAAATGATACTTAGTATTCATAGTCTTGTGGTATTATTAAAGCAGATTTTTTTCTTTTCAGCAAACCATTCCTCAAGCAACTGCAGCAAAATATCCCCGGACCATTCATCCTGAAAGTAGTACCTCAGCTTCTAGATCACTTGGAGCCAGATCAGCTCACACCCAGTCTCTCACAAGTGTTCAGTCCATAAAAGTGGTTGACTGAATTGAATATGCCCATAGTGGGGTCTTTTAATTCCTCTGGACTTACCAAGGGTTAGAAGTCTTTTGTTTTTAACTTTCTATATTGTTAGAACATCATGGATACATCATGTTCATTTGTTCAAAATTACAAGAGGCTTTTTCAAGCTCTACCATGCTTTGTAACTATATGTAGAAATTATTTTAATGTTATTTTTTATTTAAGCAATTAAGTAAAATTTTTTAAATTAAAAAAGAAACGACTTTATTTTTTAATATGTTTAGCCTGTTGCTGATTATATCATCAAAGTATATAAATTTATTTTCACTATTTATAAAACACTAAATCATTTCCAATTCTGTAATTCAGTCAAAGTATTGAGAGGGAACCTTACTTGAACTATTAGAACTAGTAGAAAATGTGATGTTTTTATTTTTAATTTAAAAAGTTAAAGGCCAAGTATAATAATGATCTTTTTTTTTTTTTGAGACAGAGTCTTGCTTGTCACCCAGGCTGGAATGCAGTGGTATGACCTCAGCTCACTGCCTCCTTCTCCCATGGTCAAGTGATTCTCCTGCCTCAGCCTCCTGAGTAGCTGGGATTACAAGCACCAGCCACCACGCCTGGCTAATTTTTGTATCTTTTTCAGTAGAGTTGAGAGGTTTCACCATGTTGGCCAGGCTGGTTCCGTACTCTGACCTCAAGTGATCCGCCCGCCCTAGGCTCCCAAAGTGCTGGGATTACAGGCATGAGCCACTATACCCAGCCCCAAGTTTTCTGTGGCTTTTGTATGTTAGTCTTCATTTTTCTAGGACTCTGACAGTTGACAATAGATGGAAATGGCAACACCTATGTTTAATGCCAAAAGGAAAACATTTTTAATGCTAGCACAGAGTTACTGAAGTACCAGAAATTTCCTGTTAGAATGATCCTGTTTCTGGTATTCTTTCTCACCTTATTTGAAACTCTGTAGAACTGAACCGACATTGTTCCCTCCAAAAATCTAAACACTGTTCTGTGATGATATAGCCTTGTGCAACTCAGCAAGCCTAGGCCTGGGGAGAAATTGTTCAATGGCTGGCCAATACAAAGAAACCATCTGGGCAGAACTGATTTAGGTGAACGAGACCTGGCTTCTAATGGTTTTATTGCTGACTGATTGTGTGGGCCACACAATTTAAATGAATCTCTGGATCCTTATCTGTGAAATAAGAGTAAAATCTACCTACTATTTCACAAGTACTTAAGTAATACATAAAAATGAGCAGGTTCTAAAGAGTCTGTCCAGGCCCTCAGTTTCCGTATCTTTAACAGAGTGGATGGACTTAATCATCTGTAGCCTCTTCTAATTCGAATGTAAGTTCTCTGCACTCACTTTTATGATAGGAAATAGGTTTTCTTGCTGCCTCACATGTTCATAGGACATCGGAGAATAAATATGATATAGACAAATATAATCCCATTTTCTAATGGGGCCCACTATGGCCTTTCTGAATTATTATCAGACTGTTTCTTAAAGAGTATTAGATATTTACACAACACTTGTTCTGGGTTCTGGCCCAGCTACCATTCTGCAAACAGCTGTACCCCTCATGAGCTTCAGCAAGCTTTTCATGAACACAAACCACCTGCACCTCATCTCGTGCCCTTTCTGTATGGGTGCTCTTCCCAGGCTTCTCCATTCACTCCCAGTTGAGTTGGGAGAGTACGGGCTCCATTGGGGAGCCCACTCATGAACCCAGAATTAACACCCACATTGTGGTAAACAGACCAATTCTTCCTTCCTTCTCCCCTGTATGAATTGTCCTGAGATGTATGAGTACATCATGTCTCTCAGAATAAATACCCACGATTAAATAATCAGTTATGCTTGTACCAAGTACCAAGTGGTGGTGGCAACTTTGGTAATTCACTATGTCCTCCTCGTTCTCTCTCCTTCCCTGGACAACTCCCCTTTTCCTCCACTCCTGCTTCCCTATATGCACCCTTCTTAAAAGGTTGTTGCACGTAAACGTTGGTCTTAAGCTCCACTTTTTGAGGATTCTAGACTACAGTTAGGTTTCAGTATTCAAGCCAAAACAGTATGGACAAACTAAAGTCAATATTATTAATGTCATGATTAAGAATATTATAAACATCTTTTTAAGCTTTAAGCTCTAGAAATGTATGCTAAAACACCAAGCAATTAATGTTGGCCTAAGTTAATGTAAATTCAACAAACACTTTACACTTTACACAGTTATAGAATGTATTCATATTTGTTTATTTTCACATAAAGAGGTTACCCCAATCTGGTGGGAGCAGCGACAGAGAGGTCAGTGGAAACTGGCCATACTGAAGAACAGATGGGACAAGACTTCTCAATACATTTTTGAAAAATGTTTTGGAGGCATGTGAATCTATTACCTGTTTTAAACATTCATAATATTAAGTCGGCCATTTACAATCATTATGAGACAGACATAAAACTACAAATTCATGATAGAATCACTGGATTGAAATTGTTCATGATTTTATTATGTGCCTTGTAAATTTAGAGTCAGAATCTGAGAATGGAGTCTTAAATTCTAATGAATAGGTGACATAAACTGACACAAATTCATACTTGATTTTACATTTTTTCCTAACTCTCAGGTTTCAAAAGTAATGCATGTTTGTTGTGAAAAAATTGGAATTGTCCCACTTTATAGGAAACTGAAGATCTAAGAACTTAAATAACATTAACATGCTCAAAGATTCACATCTAATAAGTGGCAAAACCAAGTTCACAACCATATCCATTTTTGTAAAAACCATTGGTTTTTTGCTGTACCATGATGTTGCTCCCATGAGTTTAAAAAAAAAATGACAGCAAAACCCTCCTAGATTATCTTATTACATGTGTTCTCCATCAAATGTCAAAAATGGGAAAATCATATACCACTTGCCCTCAGCAAAAACAACTATTTGACTTTTCAGTGGATGAAAAGTATCATGGTATTACTCTTCCTTCATCTGGTGGGGTAGCCTATCACCACCATCATCAGAGCTGGAAATCAATGCTACTGCCTACTGCTGGAAGAAATTTGTGGCATTAAAAGAACTGAATGCTGAGTGGAAAATCATGTAAATACAATTTCTTTAGGCATTTATGAAACTACACATTTCTTGGAGTTTGAGTCAGTTTTGCTTTTGAAATGATGAGTCTTTTCTGGAAAAAATAAGATGACATTTATTAATACCTAACATTTTTAAAGCACTTACTTTGTACCAGGCACTATTGCTCATTAAATCTCACAACACTGCTTTGAAGTAAACATTTTTATTTTCTTTCCTAGTTAATAAATGAGAAGGTGGTCACAGGGAGGTCACAGAGCTTGCTCAAGATTTACCAGCAGTCAGCTTTGGAGTTCAAGAGTGAACCCACACAGCCTTGCCTCAGGACACATGCCCTTAGCCAGTTCAGTGGGCTGCATCTTCGTCTTCTCCGAGAGTTCTTTTGAAACCTCTTTCATAGGAAGAATACATTTAACCCTTTCACATTTAGAAAAAAAGTGCAGCTCACTGCCAGGGCTTCAGCTTTACAGAAACACGCTCTTTGAGGCTGAAGTAAATCTGAATGATTTTCAATGTGAAAAATATAAAAACTGTTCTTGGAGTTATTTCTAAACAGAACTAACATCAGAATAGTCTGAATCATCCAAATTGTCAATTTCTGAAAAATTGGATTCACTGAATGAATCTTCAGCCAACAATTGTTTGAGAATGATGTTAACATCACATGTAGGAATGCTATATTTTCTGGGACTTAACATTTTCAACAATCAAGAGTTTCCATATTTTGTACATGGAAATGCCACTACTAAAAACAGAATGCTATAAGCAGAATGATGTCTTTTGTTTCCAAAGTCAGTATACTAGAGCAATGCAAAAATAATAATAAAAGCAAGATAATTCATGGCACAGTGTTCTCAGGGGAAATGCTGCAAGCACCGCTGGTGAGTATTCTCAGGGCAAATGGGAACAGGGTTAAAGTTAAGAGAAAATTTCCGATCTTATGAGATGATGTGATGAAAAGTAGGTATCCACACACTGTTCCTTGTACCTACTACTGCTGGAAACTACTAGACCACTCGGTGTTCACTCGGTTATCTTCTTGCTCCGGGTAAAACTGCTTCGTAAAAATAATGGCAGATGTTCCTACATTTTGCTTGAATGCTTATTATTATATGAGCGTTACAACACCTCCTAATGTATTGATACGTTTTTAAAGCATCTTTCCTGACAATATAGTCAGTCATTTTGGCAGAGTGATTTTTAGCAATAACCTCAGGTGGCCTGTCTGCTCCTTTTGTTCCACCTGGAGAAAACATTTTCAGATCCACTAACCTGCAGTTTCTCAACAGGGGCAAAATGGCATTTTGAGCAAGATAACTCTTATTGGTGGAGAACAATCCTATAATTGTATGGGATGGTTTAGCACTTCTGCTCCATCCCTCCTCCCCCCCACCACACTTACACATAAGCAAAAACACTCCCACACTTCTTCCAACACCCAGTAGGGGGATGACATAGAACTGCCAGGCTAACAGGTGACCGGTATTCACTGGGTCATTCCCAGTGAATACTGAAGCTGCTGACAGCTTACAAGCCCCTTGCATATTTCCATACTCCGTGTGAGCCACAGCTAACACCACACTGGGACTGCGGCTGGTCAGGATGGTGTTTCTGTAGACTGCTCCCTGACATTTTAAGGGAGAAAGAATTTCTGTTGAAACTGTCACTTACCAGCTACTTTAGGAAAACCTGCGCGTACCAACTCTTCATACAGGTGCTTGGCTGGATCAGCCTGAGTCATCAGGGTCCCGTGTAGCCAGATAAGTAGAGCCCTGTGGCCATGTTCATGGAAGTTTTCATTTCCTGCACCAAGCACAAGAGGAATGAGGTAAAACACTATGAGCTGCTATCTCTTTCCATTGTAATCTCAATTCCAACTAAACTTTCTAAATGACTGTGGTTGCAAGTCCGTTCCTCTTCGCATAAAGCCTTTCCCGTTGCCCTGGCTGTACTGCCTTATGGTGACCAGCATTTGCATGCCCTCCAGCCCTTGCCATGATGTACCTGCTGTGTTTGACACACACCCAAAGGAGTGTACAAGAGAGAGGACAGTTGTAGTGCCTGCCCAGTGGTAACAATTTTGATGAGATGTGCAACTTCTCATAGACCAATGCTCCTCAAACTCACAGTGCTTCTTTCACCTGAGTATCTTACTAAAATGCAGGTTCAGATTCAGTATATCGGGTAAGAATCCATGCATTCACCAACTCTCAGGTGCTGCCGCTAATGCTGCTCTGTATTCACCACTCTGAGTTGCAAGCATGCACGGTTCATTCTGCCACTCCAGTTTCAAGGAAGCTACTCTGATGGACGTTTGCATCCCTGGGCCAGGATTATTCGACAAATACTCACTGGATAACTCAGCCTGGAGAGGTGTCGGGGGAAGTACTGGGATTGGGAGCCACAAAGCCACTGTGTTTCCCAACAGGAGTTCAGTTACCAATACACTACAGGCTCCTCACTGTGAGGGAGAGTGTGCAGGAGCAGACATGCTGTGCAAGGAAAGAGGCTTAGCTCTGCGGGGCAAGGGAGAAGTTCACTGGACAGACTGTTAGAGAGGTGGGCATTTCAGGGAGAGGAACTGCACGCTTACAGAATGTAGTCCTGGGCAGGTCCTTGTTCCTTTCCTAATCTTGCTCTTGATACACTAATTTTTCTTAAATACCATCATGAATCTGTCACTTCTCTGCTCAAAAGCCCACAAACGCCCTGGTGCTAGTAACCTTACCCTAGATCACAACATAACTGAATTGTAAATGTCATTGTTATTGTGCCAACTAGACTATAAACTCCCTCAAACATGCATGGCTTAGAGAGCTGATGTATGTATCCCTCCTCTGGCAGAGATAAACACTCCAGGCCCTCTGTAAAGGTTTCATTGAAACACCTTAAAATCCCCCTTATCCTGTTGGCAAGTACTCTGAAGGTACACTGTATTTTCAAGTCATCTCTCTAGGTCAAGATAGAGTTCCAGGAGGCAACTCAATTTTCCTAAAGATTTCACAGGACACTATAAGCCTCATTCATGACAAAAAAGAAATCTTAACAATAAAAAATCTTTTCTAGTTAGAAACTGGCTAGTCTTCAATGTTTTCAATACCTTATCTTCTGTCTCTCACATGAAAATGTATCCTAAGAATGAGCAATACACAGTCCCATAATTTACTTGTATGTGGTATAAACAGCGTGTGCTCAAGGGCTGTTTCTGCCATCCCCAGTTCCCAGCAATCACTAATACAAATCTATCCCTGAGCAGGGACACCTTCTCATCTTAGGATGTCCATGAAAGGGCAGTGCTCTGAATAGAAAACTTTGCCAAGAAACGTGTTTGCTTCATTGGTTATTTTTTTATTTATGTTTGAGACAGAGTCTACCTCTGTTGCCAGGTTGGAGTGCAGTGGCGTGATCTCGGCTCACTGCAACCTCCACCTCCCAGTTCAAGCAATTCTCCGACCTCAGCCTCCCCAGGAGCTGGGACTACAGGCTCACACCACTATGCCCAGCTAATTTTTATATTTTTAGTAGAGATGGAGTTTTACCACTTGGGCCAGGCCTCGATCTCTTGACCTTGTGATCCTCCTGCCTCGAAGTACTGGGATTACAGGTGTGAGCTACCATGGCTGGCTGCTTCATTGTTGAAGCTAATTAGTTGATTAATGCCAAGCAAACTTTCTGTATTTCCTAGGTTTCAGTCTAACCACAAAAAAGCAAAACTAAGAAATCCAGCCGATCTGACCTCACTAATTCTGACAGCTTGAGTCCAGCTGAAATGATTCCATTGCTTGGAATCATCTAGGCAAGAAAGCCCTGAGTCTGCATCCCGGTGTCTCTCATGAGACAGCCAAGTCTCCCGTAAGGCCAAGTCCTACACCCCTTCCCCCACACCCACCTGGTTTAAGGAATTCCTCTTTCTGGAGTGCAAACTTAAACAGTGAGCCTATTGATTACAGAATAAATCCATTCACCCCAGGACACTCTCAAGGTACACTAGAAATCAGATTGGCTTCCCACTGGCACACCAACTGTTAAATCCTTGCTTCCTTAGTGACTGTCCAGTGGGAAACTTAATTTCTTTCTAAATGCCACATGTTTGATATGGCTCAATAAACATAATCATCCCTTGCAAACTTCAGTTTACTGCAGACCATGAGTGTTCACTTTTCTGCAAATCTTAACGTCCAATCACTGGTGTGGACCTAAGCTAGCAGCCCCTATTGCTGGGCCCCTCGAAGACTGCAGCTTACTGTGAGTGCCATGTACTTTCTTGGAAGACCGCACACCAGGAGGCACTGCTGTTCCTAACAGTGAATTCCTCCTGCCCACATCATCCAGTCTATACTCACCCGACCACTGCTCTTCTATTGCTCTAATCTGGTCATCTGTAAAGTTCCATGAACGGGCCAGCCTCTGCCACTCATTGTCCTTCAGCTGATGATAAGCCAGGTCCCAAAGGAGTGTGCGAATATGTCTAGTCTCCAAACTATGATCTTGCTTGAATGTCAGAGTAAAGCCTGTTGATGGGTCGCTGATACTCTCTTGATGCTCCTAAAGTGAAAATAATTGTATCAGAAGATTTCAGACGTGTTCTATTTACTACCTTATTTCAGAGTATATATGATTTTCAAACATAACTGGTAAGGTGGTAACCAAGACTATGTTTTCGATGCCATCTGTCACTGGATCATGTTTTTGCCATCCAAAATGGAAACAAATGCTTGGAATCAAAAGTTTGGGTACCGTCTGTCTGACATAGGAAATGCGAGGGATTTTGCCTATTGTGTTCCATGCTGCTTAGAACAGAGAATGAGAACAGAGAGGCTGTCTTGGGGAAGGATGTGTCACAAAAACAAAACCATCACTAATGGACTTCATTTGAATCCACACCCCCTTTTCTTCTTTTGTTTATTTGATGTTCTCATATCAAAGCTTCAGTGGGCCCAGATTGGGTGTATCCCTTATAAGATCACATAGCTGGTCCCTCATTCGTCCTGCTCTCTGGTAAGCATGAGGAGAGGAAACCAGGAGCCTAGCTCAGGGTGGGACTTGGGGAACAGGTGACCAAGGGGCTGGAGAGGACAGGAGTGGATATCATTTAAAGTCACTGCAGCCAGGCTCAGCCCAGCAGCACTATGCCTAAATTGGCGTCTTGTTTTCTGTCTGTGTAAAGGTTCCTTCTGTCCCTTCTGCAGAATCCACCAGAGTCCTACAGAATCAAACCAAAAACACTGGAGAAAAGTCCCTGAGTAAAAGCAGGAGCGCCTCCTCCTAGAACTGCCTCTTGTGCTTACACCACTCGGGCTCCAGGTAATCCTCCTGCAGAAGGTTGCAAATCAGTTAAAGACATCCAGGACACGTGGCCCACCAAGAAGTCTGGGACTTCCTGTTTACCTCTCCCTTTTTGTGTATAGCGACTTCTATTTTTGTCTTTCACTTAAATAAAGGTGTATCTTAATGAAAATATTCTTCACAACAAGATGGGAGTCAAGGCTGGGGCAGGAACTGGATCAAAAGGGTATGGGACCCTGGGTTTTAAAACTAATGAGAAGAACTTGATGGGACAGGCTCATCCCCATCATGGATCAGCCTGCACCCTTCACAGCACCAGCAACCTCCTCCAGAAAGCTTGACAGGGGAAGCGCAATAAGCTCCTCTGGGGAAGCTTTGCCAAGAAGGGAAAATCCTCCTCTAGTATTTGAACTTTGTGTACACAAGTTGGAAGAGGAATGGGAGGTGTGAATTACCCACTCAGAGACTGTAAAAGGCAGGGTCTTCTGCAACCCAGCCTCAGCTTTACTTCCACAGGGCCTGGCTCCCAGGAATTCCAAAGGAAGTAAGGTTGAGGATGGGGAGATCCAACAAACTTGGGCGCTGTGGGCCACTTCTCTTTATCCTTTTCTCCTCATTCCATCTCCTGAAACAATGATGAATCCAGTAAGATCAAAAGTCTAAATGTCACAGGGAAAGGGAAGAACACAAAATGCTTCTGCATTTATCTCTGTGCGATAACATTTTTAGTTCTTCAAGAAACTTACATGGTTTTGCATTTCAGGATTGGGCTGGGTGATCCCTCAGGCTTCCATCGAAAAGGGCAGGAAACTTGGAAAGCCTAGGTCTTTTTCAGCAGTCAGTGAAAGTATTAAATAGCCTGCCTGCCAAAGCACCGAACTATTTGCAGGAATAACAGGAGCCAGAACTGGTGGAAATTAAAATAACAAAAGCCAGATTTTAGGAAGCTCCCATTTGCCTCTGAACCACTGAATTTAATGATGGATGATTGGGTGGTTATGTTAATGGATAAATGGATATAAGAGAGGAAATTTAAATCATCTCTTTAATCCTTTTACTAGGAACCATTTTATATTAGGCAGGATATAAACTTGTTCAATGAACAAAGAGAATTTAAAATAATAAATGCATTTGGTCAAAAAAAAATTGAAAAATGTATCTTAAAAGACAAGTATTTCTCCAACTCCAGACCCCAGGACCCCAGTTGTCACCAGAGTAAACAACTCTTACCATTTCCTGGGGGTTTTTAGTGGTATTTACGTATTATACATGGTTTTCAAAGTTTACCTAACTCTTATGTCTTAAAGATTCATTAGGAAAGAGGGTGTATTCATTTGGTGGGAAAATAATTTATTCTCATCTACCCAAAAGAATTTTTTAAAGCTTCCAAAAATTAAAAATAGAATCAATGAATATTTCTATTTCCAAAGAAAATGTGAAAGCAAGTTAAACAGAAAGAGAAAAGATGGCACTTGTAAAGTTGTCTTCAATTAAAAAAAATGATAATTTAAGAAAATAAGCCTGAGGATAGGAAAAGAGGAAGAGGTAAAGGGAGGAGATGGAAGAACATAGAAAGATGAGGAATGGGAGAGAAGAAACAGAGAATTCCAATTGTTAAAACTTTTTTTATAATGTTTTACAAGCAAAGCTCTTTTTTTTTTTTTTTTGGTTTTATAGGCAAGAAAAGTTGCAAGGAGGATGGTGTGATCTTTAAAAGAATCCATATAGATCAAGACTAGCAAGCTAATTAAACAGAATTGTGAGAGGGAAGGAGATGAGTAAATGCTTTTTGCTTTAAGGATTTAAGGGAAATTTCCCAGGATTGGCCAGCTGGACAGCAATCCAGCTTCATAGAAACTCAGGGTGAGCCCCACATGATTAGGGCCTGAATTCTGGAGCTAACACATTGGGCCAGGGATCACCATGCAGCCTAGAATGGAAACAACACGTCCCTATAAGTCAAGAATGGTGTCTGGCAGTGCCATTCTTGCCTGAGGGCATAGACTTGAATCTTGCAGGGGAGAGCAGTCTATTGAGAAGCTGCATGGGTAGCAGATATCAGAGGAAATAAAAATGAAAGAACACCAAAAAGAATGACTTACAGACAACGGTTTTTTTGTGTGTTCTCAAGTGAATAAGGTTTTCATGACTCTCACAGAATACTTGAGTGCCGGAAAGCCAGCACAGGGGTGTGTTGAAAACTGCCAAGCCACAGAAAGGAGTTTGTCTTAATCACTCATTAGTGCTCCTGGGAATAGCTCATGGCCAGACTGTGGACAGAGGGCACAACCAGGGCGTCACCCATCAGGGGTTCACATGCCAGGTCCACTAGAGCTGGCATGGACAACGCCGCTTGACCCAAGCGAACCCTACGCACTCTCAGTTCTGACATCTGATGTCAGCAAAGGTAGAGGCACAAAACAGAAGGGACAGTTTTAACTGTACTGACCAGGGCTCTGCTCATTAGAGCACAGTATGACACAGCCCCCACATTGCCCCTCAAGAAGATGGGCGTTGCCAGGAGAGCCTCCACTGTGCTGGGCTCGTCCTTCCTTACCTCTCTCCAGGCGTAGTATCTCTCTGCTTTAATGAGCATGTCTACCACAAGGCTATGGTTGCTCCTGGAGGCCACAGCCAGGGCAGTCTTTCCTTGCTAAAATGTAAAAAAGGAAAAAAGAAAAAAAAATCAGGTGGTATGGCCCAGTGATTAGGAGCTCTGGTTTTGGAACAAGAGGAACTGGGTTCAAATCTTGATTCTACCACCCCCTGCTGTGTTAACTTAGGCCAGCCCTTTTCTCCTTGGGTCTTTATAACTACCGCATAGTGGAGTGTTCAGGGGTAAACGTGACTAGAACATATGCTAATAACCCTGAATATTTCCTAGCCTCTTCTGTAGTTCAGTATATGACCTAAGTTCTGGCCAATGGTCTGTAAATAGAAGTGGGACATGCAACTTCTGGTGTCTTTAAACAGAAGAGGGATGAATGACATTTTCCTTCTTTTCTTCTTCCTCCTGAGTGGAATGCTGACATGACGGCAGGAGCCTGAACAGCCACTTTAGACCAGGAAGTAAAAGCCATGTTTTGAGGAGCATTGAGTAATAAGACAGAAAAGGGCTGGATTTCATTACGAATAATATCAGTAATGGCAACACTGGTCATTCATAGCTCACTGGACCCCTATCAAGAATTTTTTTCTATTATACCATACTGCCTCCAACCAAGGGTGAGAGGTTTGAACCTTAACCAAATAGAATGATCAACAAGGGCTGTTCTGGACATAATTTTGGGAATGCTCTGCCTGGAGCCCACATGGTGTCTTAGACAAATTACAAAAAGGTACACTTTTCTCAAGATGGACAGAGCTTAAAGCCAGGGCACACGTCTTTGTAAGCAGAATCCCCTGGAGTTCATACAGTGTACAACTTCTACATCTAAACATTTTTCCCTGAGCAAAGGATGGCGGTTCTCATTTGCTTTTCAAGAGACCCATGAAGAATTTGCTCAGAAAACAATTAAAATTAATGGTCAGAAATGACCCAAAAAGAAGTTCCAATCTTAGGAACCTGTGTTTCTACCCTTATGGATCCAGAAATACATCCCAAGTATTATCTTACATGGTTAGATATTTGCAACAAGGGCAAATCCCACCGATGTAAATGATTTGGTTTTTAGTCTAGGCGCTAAGACCCAGGCGAGCAGAAAAATTAGGGCTGAAAGTAATCAGCCTCTAATCAAAAGAGACAGTAATGAAATTAAGAAGAACTGCATTTTGCAGGCATTTAGCAAGCCTCTAATTGCACGCTGTCAACATTCTGGCTTGTAAAGCCATTTGAATCACTATAATTAGCCTGCTTTGAGAAGGCAGCATTCTGAGAGCCGGAGTTTTCAAATTCATGGGAAAATCTTCCTAGGGAATATACACTGGAGTACAAATCCAAACACTTCTGCCCTTAGGGGTTGGGAGGTAGCAGGGATAGAAGGTCCTCTGAGAGCTTTGCAACACTTCAGGCCCAAAGGACCAGCAGAGAACAAGCTGCTGGGAGAGTCAGACTTAGACCAATTTTTGGCTCCTTATTTCCTAAGCAGACCCTAACATGGTCCTAGAAACACTTTTCTTTGACAACAAAACTTGTGGGAGCCAATAAAAAAGATACTTTTTAGTCATTAATTAACTATGTATTGGGTGCCGACTATGTGCCAGACCCTGAAAAGAAAGGAGAAGGGAAATCAAATTATGAGGCCCCACAAACTGTGAGCTCTTGTTTTGAAAACAAAGTCAACTGGTAGCATTGACTGTGTTTACTGGAATATCCACTCCACTGAGCACCAGGGGCCCAACATCAATCCCTGCCTAATGCTATAGATTTTCTACCCACAGAATGGTCTTCAGGATATTACGTGTTCATGAAAAACTAGAATAAATAACAAAAAGACAACATTAGAAAATACTAATGCTAAATGTTAAACCAAGTTAACCAGGCAGTGAAAGGGATGGAATGCTACAGAAGTGATAAAATATGGGTGGTTGTGTTTTCCTTCCGTAAGCTTTTCTATGTGTTCTAAATTGTCCACAGTGGGCCTGTGTTACTTTTATGATAAGAAAAAAAAAAAGTTAATTTTAGAAACTGACATACAGAGAAAAGTAAAATAACATATAAATACTTTTTAGATTCTACTCATGTAAAATGGATGATTCTGAACTAGAGAAGGGCGGACTCAGGCTTCTGCTGTGAATTAGAGAGGTGCTGGCTATTGACCTGTGTGGGTAAAAATAAGGAAGGGAAAACTGCAAGTTTAGGAAGTAGTCATCTTTGCTGACAGTTGTAGCAAAGCACCAGATGACAGAGCAGACACTGCTTGGGTTTGAAGCCAGCTCTGCCTCTTACTATGCGTATGACCCAACGCCCGTCGATGGATGAATGAACAAACAGTGTGGCACAGACATACAATGAAATGTTATTCAGCCTTAAGAAGAAATGAAATTCCGACACATGCCTCAACACAGACAAACCTTGAAGACGTTTGCTAAGTGAACTAAGCCAGTCACAAAAAGGCAAATACCACGTGATTCCAAGTGGTCAAATTCACAGAAACAGAAAGTAGAATGGTGGTTCCAAGGGACTGGGAGAAGGAAGAAATGGGGAGTTAGAGAACACGTATAAAGTTTCACTTTTGCAAGATGAAAATGTTTTGGAGACTGATTGCATAACAATGTGAATATACTTAATCATACTGAACTTAAAAATGGCTAAGACAGTGCATTTTATGTATCTGTACTTTATTACAAATTTTTTAATTTAAAAAAACAAGTTTAGACGTATGTAAAGTCATTCCTTGCAGCTCTGTTTGTAAGAGCAAAACTTTAGGAACAACTTAAATGTCCATAAATTGAGGCGTACTTGAACAAATTGTGATATGTCTGTTCCCTGCTATACTACGCAGCTGTAAAAAAAAGAAGAAACTCTCCATGTATTAATACGCAAAGATCTCCACTTAATAATGCTAAAAAAGCTAAATGCAGAACAGTATACTCGTTATGGGTATGCCATCAGTGTCTAAAAAGGATGGAGGAAGGGAGTAAGAGTATAATGTGTTTATGTTTGCTGGCATATGCATAAAAAACTCTGGAAGGAACAGAAATAATTTATAGTAATAGATACATATGGCAAGGTAGTATGGTAACCAGACAAGTAGGAATGGGGTGGGTAGGAATTTTTTACTGCTAAACCCTTGCTAGTTATATTCTTTTATTTTTGGACCATACGAATCTATAATTTTTTTTTTTGAGACGGAGTTCTGCTCTTGTTGCCCAGGCGTGATCTCAGCTCACTGCAATCTATGCCTCCCGGGTTCAGCAATTCTCCCACCTCAGCCTCCCAAGTAGCTGGGATTACAGGCATGCGCCACCACGCCCAGCTAATTTTTTGTATTTTTAGTAGAGACGGGGTTTCTCCATGTTGGGCAGGCTGATCTCGAACTCCTGACCTCAGGTGATTTGCCTGCCTCGGCCTCCCAAAGTCCTGAGATTATAGGCGTGCCACTGCGCCTAGCAGAATCTATAATCTTTTCAAAAATTTAATGAAGAATTTGAATTTTAAAACCACATAATTGTTATTCAAAGTAAAAATTCTTACTGACATAGCTAAATCTAAATTGGGATATTTTACTGACTATGAAGATACACGGTTTCTCCAGTTTGTGCCCATTTCACAAAGGATATTCCAATTGTCACTGCTCAAGGCTGACAGCCAACAGGAAGTTCTCAGCAACCATCTCAGCTGAATGAAGTCCATTAACTTACCTTGTCAACAGCCTTCAAGTCACAGCCTGCCTTCAGCAGGGTTTCCACTAGCTCCACATTTCCTCGATCAGCAGCTACATGCAGAGGGGTTTGCTGCCTCTGCCATGAAATTAAGGAGGGGAACCAACTTGGATGGTGAAAAGACAAAGGGAAAGTAGAGCCATCCTATTTAGATTCAAGGGAAAACAGAGGTCGTGTGTTTTTAAATGGATATGGGGGCAGTCGTGGCAGTATTATTTGCAATAGTGAAAAATGGAAAGGAAATTACATGTTTAACAAGGAGACTCACTAGATAAATTATGATACATCTACATATTAGAATAACAGGCAACCATGAAAAATTATTTTTAAAAAATAATTTCAATACTAGGTACCTAAAAGTCAAATGTATAGAGACAGAAAGTTGAATGGTGGTTACCAGGAGCTGGAGGAGGAGGAAATGGGAAGCTACTGTTTAATAGATATGGAATTTCAGTTTGGGAAGATGAAAAATGTTCTGTAGATGGATGGTGGTGATGTCATACCACAATGAATGTAATTAATGCCACTGAACTGGACGCTTAAGATGGTTAAAGTGGTAGATTTTGTTATGTGTACTTTACTACAATAAAAATAATTCCAAAGTTTTTTGAAAATAAAAAAATGCTTTTGATATAATGTTTGAAACTTTAGGAAATAATACTATCTAGTTGAGCTTGATTTAATTAAAATACATATAGATAAAGAGAAGAAAATACAGTACATAAAAATGTTAATGCTAAGGTCTAGATGAATGGATTAGAGTTTATTATTACCTTCTTAATGCATTTCTCTGTTCTCTAAATTTTCTGAATTATAATGTATAAAGGAGTACAAGCCTTCTAATTTCCTTCTGGAGTAATCATTTTCCTATCAAGAGGATAAGAGTTTCAAAATAAATATCTGAAATCACAAGAAAATCACCTATCTTAACCTCTCACCAAAAGGAATGCAGATGTGAAGACATTTCTAAAATATTAGGGCAGAGAGGAGCCTTAGATGTGATCTAGCCCAACTCCTGAACCAGAAAAGGGAAGCAGCTTCCCCCAAGTCACAGAGGTGGGCAATGCATGTGGACCACTATTCTTCCCACCAGAGCACAGGGCCAGCATGCTGGAGATACTACCAAAAGGGATTTATTTATTTATTTGTTTGTTTATTTTTCTTAGAGACAGTTTCTTACTCTGTCACTCAGACTGGACCGCAGTAGCATGATAATAGCTCACTGTAACCTCAAACCCCTGTGCTCAAGCAATCCTCCCTTCTCAGTTTCCTGAGGAGCTGGGACTACAGGCTCTGCTAATTTTTCTTTTCTTTCTTACTTTTTTTTTTTTGTAGAGATGAGGTCTCACTATATTGCCCAGGCTGGTTTCAAACTCCTGGCCTCAGGTGATCCTCCTATCTTGGCCTTACAAAGTGTTGAGATTACAGGCATGACTCAACACACCTGGCCTCCAAAAAGCATTTCCTAAAGCCTCACCTTCAAATGGCAGTGTGTCTAGGTGTTTGTCATTCAAGACATTCCACTTATACTGACAAACCTATCAAAGATCTGTACCGACATGGACCAAAGGCGGAAATGGAATCTCTCAAGTCCAGCAAAACCCATTTTAAGAACACTGCTACCAGCCTGGAAGGCAGGGAATGCGCTAAAACATTAACAAGAGTTGTCTTTCTTTGCTGGGGACTTCAAACACATTCAGTGTTTTTAGCTTATATTTTTTAAAAGTTTACATATATATTTTATATTTAAAATATAAATGTTCCTATTTTATATGTGTATTATTGGTCTAATAAAAAAACTGAAGTGATAAAGTCTGGTTCTGTAAAAGGATGACAAGCCTAACAAACACTCCTTCCCTAGAGTGCATCTAGCCAGTTCTGTCAAAACCAGTATCACATGAGAGCACAAGGCTCTGTTTATTTAGCAAGGATTTTGCCCAGTGGGAAAGATTCTAGATATTAATATAGTTGAATACATAAGTACATTTAATAACAAGAGGAGGTTGTTTTTTTCCACAAAAAACTTTTGGGATAGGTAAAGGCAGGGGAGGAGGCTAGGTTCCCTGGAGAAGGGAAGGGACAGAAGTCCAGGTAAATCTTCATTCAGCTCAGAGCAAAACTTAGCTCATAGGTGGGAATTGGAGGAGACTGCAGAGATAGGAGTCAATGCTCTGGTTTCACAGTGCATTAGGAGGATATGCAGGCATGCCCACTGCACCGTGGCTCCTCCCTAAGCCGGAGGGACACCGCAGAGGCTTCTCTAGGGAGAGGCAGTCAGAAGAACTCATCCGGCCTCAGGACCCCAGAAAGGCTCCTCTTGCCACTCCCCTACATCTCCTGGAAGAAGGCAGGCCAGCCCCAGAAGAGCCCCAGAGAGCAGGCTCATCCAGTGCCCACCCCCATTCTCTTCATGATTCCACTGTGGCTTTCCCACTTCCAGCCAGTGATGGATTGCTTTAATGAGTCATTTGACTCTGCTCCAGTTGACTGAACTTGCGGTGATTTTTCTTTTATTCCAAGAGGTCTCTTTTGCCTTTAGGCAAAGAGAAGACACATTTACTGTCTTTAATATAGAAACAAATCTTCCTTCTTGTGGGGGAAAGGCTCCCTGCCAATGACAATATTTCACTCTGGAGGAGTAGTTTTTGATTTAAAGAGCCTCTGGCCATTTAGCTCTGAGCTACTATTTTTCTATCAAAAGTGCTGGGCCTGTTAAAAATGAAGGATTTAATCATGCACTGGCTGAACTCCAGTTGTGTGGCTGAGAAAGACAAAAGTGTGTGTGTGGGTGTGGGGATGCAGTGGGACTTACAGAAGGAAAAGGAGAAGAATAAAAAGGATGCTCATGTTCCTCCCGGGAATTTTTAGGTACCTTGAACTTGATCAGAACTCCCATAAACACACACTGTGTTGAAACATAAGAAAATAGACCCTCCCAACTCCGATTTGCCTGGCTTACCTGATTTAAGACGTCAATATCATGCTGTGCACTTAATAAGCTGTTTACGACTGTGATGTGGTTGTTGATAACAGCTAAATGAAGAGGGGACTCCTTAGGCTGCAAGAGATAAATAAAAATGTCAAAGCCAAAAGATTCTGGCTTCATTACTCAAATCAAAAACCAACTCATTTCAGCAGCTATTTCCTGATGATCTCCCAAATACTGAAACTGCCCATTCTAGTGGGGACCCCCAGTAAGTGTTCAGCATTTATTGTCATCCCAAGGCTTTGAAGCAAACTTGCTCCCCAGCAAACAGCTCGCCCGCTTTGTTCTTTCTGGAACTGCACACTAAGCACCTACTATGGGCCAGGCTCTTTTCAGGTTGTCAGGGATGTAGTGTGAACAAAGCTCATTCTCAGGAATCTTCCAATCTAGTGGGGTAAGGAAATACTGACTTTTTTAAGTCACACAAATACAGAATACAATTAAGTGCTTTGGAGGTAAGTAGAAGAGCCAGTGTGGGGTAGGGGGAAGACTGACCTTTCAGGAGATCAGAAAATACTTTTCTGAAGAACTGACATTTAAGCTCAGATGTGAAGGATAAATAAGCGTTAAGTAGGCTGAACCACAGGACTTCTCAGAGCCTTCAAAGAGCTAAAGGGCAATGAGAGTAGCCACAAGGGTAAAATCATTGTACATTTGGAATTTCCTAAATTGATCTGCTCTGGAGCCCTGACTCCTTAGCGTATCCCCCTTGCTCAAGGGGCACCATCCTCATGCTCAGCCTCCCCGCATAGAGTCCAGCCACAGGGTGTTCACCAAGCCCTCTGCAGCCTGCTCTTCTGTTCTCTTCCTTTGTGGCTAAACCACCTGTCTTCCCAGCCACAGCCCTTCATGGAGCTCCCGCCCCTGTCACTCACTCATCCCCACCACTGGCTTCTTCCCCTGCCCTTTGCCTCTAGGCTCCCCTGCTGCTGCAATCCCACCCAGCTGCCACTGGCCTGTGGAGAGAAGACAGGCCTCCAGGAATAGAGACTACAGCTGAGATGGGGGAAAAGGGAGGGAAGAAGCAATGGGATTGAAGGGAAGTGAGGGCAAAAGTGATTAAGGCATGAGGGAGAAGGAGGCATCATCCAGCATGATGACGAGGGAGGGATGAGGATACTAGGGGAAGGTGGGATGGGGTGTGAGAGCCAGGGCTGAAGATCCAGTGACATTGTGCAGATCAGGAGCTGAGTGTGGAATGAGTGGAGAGAGGGAGGAGGTACCTGAGAGGGTGAGTGATTAGGATGAGTGCAGCGTTGCTCAAGTGGAGAGCTGATATTAACGATATGCATCAGACACACTCAGCACATTCTCATTGTGGTGCTTACTACACACTCATTTCCCCAATAGTTTATTTTTTTTTCAGAGATGGGATCTCACTCTGTTGCCCAGGCTGGAGGGCAGTGGAGCCATCGTAGTTCGTGGTAACCTGAAACTCCTGGGTTCAAGTGAACCTCTCACCTCAGCCTCCCAAGTAGCTGGGACTACAGGCATGCACCACTGCACCTGGCTAATTTTTAAATTTTTGGAGAGATGAGGTCTTGCCATGTTGCGCAGGCTGCCCTAACAGTTTATACTCTTAAACACCAGCCTGACAGTTTTTCAGAAACCATGTTAATAACCCTAGAAGTTTGATCTCATATTCCCCACTTCATACATGAGACACAAGGAGGATCAGCAACTTCCACAAGGCCATGCAGCAAGGAAGTGGCAGACACAGGACTTGAACCCAGACCCTTCTGACTCTATCATCTGTACCAGGCTCCATCTCAGGAGATGGGGGAAGGTGGATGGAAGAGAGACCATAGTGAGTTGGCAAGAGTGTCACCAGCAGATGGAGGGAGGGGAGACAAGGGGACAGATAGAAGACCACAGCTGAGTAAGTCAGAGACTGTCAGAGGCCAACAAAGGTCAAGGCAGACAGATGGTGTGAGCAGGGCCGTGAAGGCAGCATGAAGGGAAGAATTTCTGTATAGGTCCCTTCTGCCCGGGAATAACCTCCTTGAGGCACTAAGCATGAAAACCAAGAAAACATCCACATTGCAAAGAAGTGGGCATTGTCCTTGCCGGGGCCACCCGCCTTGCAGTGGCCCAGCTCCTCCTGGGAAACAGGAAGTGTCCTTGGACTGAACCAGGTAAGTTCAGAGCCAATTCCCCCAACACCATGCTCCAAAAACTATCAGACATGGTTTAAATCACATCCCTCCTCTCGAGTTAATACAATAAATAGTAATGGCTCAGCAAGATCAGAGGAAATCATATTCTCAACGGAGAAATGAAAATAGAGTGGAAAAATAGAAGCATGTTTCTTGTTTAATTCCAACACAGAGGGCCTTTTGTTAATTCTGCCAAAGCCAATTCAAACGTCAGAAAACCTGAATCAGTATAAAGAACTGACTTTCAAAAGAAAAACAAGATTATTCAGTGAAGGGAAAAAAATTATCACTCTTGATATATATAGCTGCTTCATTATTTTCCCAGACTGATCAAATTAATCCAAGCTAATGGCATCCCTAGACATATGAGAAAGCTTTATTGTAGCAAATACAAATATTTAAAACTCAAAGATTTCATTTTCTTCAGGAACTTCAATGACTTTCTAAAATTCATCCCTCGGATTTTATTTCTCAAGATTAAGACTCAGCCTCCAAAAGAAGTCAGCCAGCCTTCCCAGAAAGAATTCCTCCCTTGTGAAACATCTCATCTCCTACATGTATCTGCAAGGGGCATCTCCCTGCCACAGCCAACCTCATGGCGCCAGGACCAAACCCTGTGTCATTAAAATAAACTCACTTCCACTTTCGGGTGCAGATCAACGTTCTCACGGAGAAGAAAGTTAACAAGGGATGCATGGCCGTTCCTGGTTGCTATCTGCAAACTACTGATATTGAGCTGCAAGAGACAATGGAGAGGGCAGGGAGGAACTCCCATTATAATTCAGCATGTTTTCTGGGGTTTATCATACAGTAATCAGTTAATACAATGAAATAGTACAACTACAGTCGTGCATCACCTAACAGTGATTTGGTCAATGACAGACCCCCAGTGGTCCCATACAATGGAGCTAAAAAATTCCTATGGCACAAATACTTAACCATTGTGTTACTATGCTCTACAGGAGCAATAGCTATACCATAGGAGCCTAGGAATAACAGATATACCATATAGCCTAGGTATGTAGTAGGCTGTACCATCTAGATTCGTGTAAGTACACTCCATTAGGTTTATACAACAAAATCAGGCATTCATCATAACATTTCCCTGTCATTCAGAGATGCATGGCTGTATTTAAAAAAGAAAATCCAGTTGGGCACAGTGGCTCATGCCTGTATTTCTAGCACTTTGGAAGGCCAAGGTACATAGATCACTTGAGCCCAGGAGTTTGAGATCAGTGCTGGCAACATGGCAAAACCCTGTCTCTACAAAAATTAGCTGGACTTGGTGGTGTGCGCCTGAGGTTTCAGGTACTCAGGAGGCTGAGACTGAGATGGGAGGTTGGTTTGAGCCTGGGAGGCAAAGACTATAGTGAGCCGAGATCATGCCACTGCACTCCAGCCTGAGCAATAGAGTGAGACCCAGTCTTGAAATAAATAACTAGAAAATCCATTGTATTTTCAATTATTGGGGTGGGAGGAGCTACTAATAGGTTGGTGCAAAAGCAATTGTGGTTTTTACCTAATTTTCTGTTTTTTTCTACGTATCTCCCATAAAAGTGTCAGAGCCCTAGGGAACATATGTGCAACACACTGAATGTTTGTGTACCTCCCACGATTCCTACATTGAAACTCCAGTTGCAGTGTGATGATGATAAGAGGTGGGGCCTTTCAGAGGTTGAATTACCTAATGTTGTTGACTGATTAATTGTAAGATTGCTACAAAGTATTTTCAGGTCTTTCAAATAAGGATGCTGTTGGAAACTGCTTTCCCAAAATGGCTGCATCTCCTGTCCCACAAGCTTGTCTCCAATATGATCTTGCCACTCCCCTCATCAAGAGGTGGGGTTTTCCACCTCACTGAATCTGGGTTGACCCTGTAACTGCTTTGACCAATAGAATATGGCAGAAGTTCCAACATGCCAGTTCCAGGCGAGGCCCCTAACTAGCCTGGCAGCTGCTGCTCTCTGCCTTTTGTCATGCCTGCTCTTGTAATCCTTCCTCTTAGAGGACAGTTTCCAGGCTGTAGGCTGAGGCACATGGCGAGGCCCAGGTGAGCTCCCAGCTGACAGCCAGCATTAACTGTCAGGCATGTGAGTGCACTCTCTTGGATATCTAGCTCAGGTAAGCCTTCAAAATCCTGGCCAACTTCCAACTGTAATCACATAAGAAACTCAAAGTAAGAATCCTCTCAACTGAGCCCAGTCAACCCACAAAGCCATGAAAAAATACTAAATTGTTATTTTAAGCCCCTGGACTTTGGGTTGGATGGTTATGAAGCAATAGATAATGGAACAGATGCCAACAGGAATGACCTATCTCTGACCAGCTGAAATCTAGCTTGCATGATGCTAAATGCCTATATGACCTTGGATAAGTGGCCTATCAAGTACGGACCTCTTTGTCTTTGTCTGTAAAAATGGCATAACCACCTATATTTCTATTGCTGTTATAAAACATTGCCACAAAATTAGTGGCTTAATAAAAATATATTATTTTATAGTTTGGGAGGTCAGAAGTCTGAAATGGATCCCACTGGACAACTAAAAAAAAAATGTTCACAGGCCTGTGTTTCCTTTCTGGAGGCTCCACATCCTTGTCTCTTCTAGGTTTTAGAAGCCTCCTATGTTCTTTGGCTCATATCCTCTTGCTCCATTTTCAAAACCAGCAACAGTTAGCGGAGTCCTTCTCACACTGCATTAGTGCATCCTCGTCTGCCTCCCTCTTCCACTTTAAAGAACCCTCAAGATTACATTGGGTCCAACTAGTAATCCCAGAGAATCTCATTTTAAGATCAGCCAATTAGCAACCTTAATTCCATCTGCAATTTAAATTCTCCTTTGCCATGTAATATAACACATTCACAGGTTCCAGGAATTGGGATGTGAACTTCTCTGGAGGTGGGGAGCCTGATTCTACCTACCACATCATCCTACCTCTTTCTCTGAAATCACAGTACTACTGGGAGGATAGATGAGCCACTAAATGTGTATGGTAACCATAACTATTATTTTATCCATTCCACACACACACAAAATACTGAGCATCTATTTTGTGCCAGGCACTATGATAGTGAAGAGATATGCTGGTAAACAAAACTGACAAAGTATCTGACATTGCATTTCAGTGGTGGTGGACAATCGATTGATCCATTGGTAGACTGGCAGATCAATAAATCAGTGGGCTTAAATCTGCTTCTTATATTCTAGATGTTGTTAGAATAACATTATTTAGTTGGAAGTTCTACAAGACATAAAAGACATAACATGACTAACCAGTCACAGCTGGTTAACTTTCTCACAGCTGTTCAACAAAGCCTGTTGGCATTTAAACTGAGATCAGAATGGTCAGAAGTGCTCTAACTGGGACAATCAGAAGCCACCTAAAGCAGAAACAAATTTACGAGAAACTCAAAGCAGGAATCCTGTTGTAGGAAGAGCCACGGGAGTCCGCAGCATTTACCTCTAGGCATCGTGGGCTCTGTGTATGGGGCCTACAGACTTTTTATGAGCCAAAGAAATCGTTAAAATGTAAAAAAAGAAAAAAATTAATGGCTCCATGATACTGAAAGAAAACCACAAAATTGAAGTGAATAAATATTTAATTGACATTCATACCTCATTGATTGTTAAATGTAATATTCATAAAATATTCATTATATTTATAAACAATTTGTAGCTAGCATTTTTTCACCTCCCTCAAATTCCCAATTATGTACACAGAGTTTGAAGAAATCAGGGTCAATCATAAATTAGGTGAGTCTGTCATAGCCAAATAACGGCAAAAAAGCAAAAACAAAAAAGCCTAACAGCAAAAAAAAAAAAATGTAAAGAAGAATGTGGGAGCATTTAAATATGTATGATAAAATGTGAGGTAGGACCTCCCGGAATATGAATTCTTAGGATTTACAAAAGTCTTCATTGAACCCAGGGCAGTTAATAAGGCCCTAAAGAGAGCCTGTTGCTCTAACCCTGGGCAGCACCTCCACCCAACACAAACGGAGGAAGCCAGCTGTCTACTAAATTCATAATCTCCCTCCAACATCCTCCTTAGAAATGACTCAACTCTACCCTCTCCCCTTGCTGATGGGGAGGTAGGAGGGAGCACAAAAGCAATCTCTTGGACACCAAAGCAGTGTCACCATCAGTGTCAGCAGGTGAAGAATTTCCAAGATCAAACACAGCAATCACCTACAAATGTGAAAGCAAAACAAAGTCCAACCCATCCCAGGATCATGTGTGTCCTTGCTGTTAGCCTTTTCTTCACACTGCTTTCATCCCCAAGTTTTCACTGGGGTGGACAGATTGGTGTGGATGGCAGGTAGGGGGGCTGAGGTTGTTGATAGAGAAGTGTGCTGATGAACTTGGGAAAAACTCGAGAAGTCAAAGCTATGAAACAGATTCACAATAATTTCCAGGCTGCCTAGAGCAGCTAAGGCCACTAGCTGTAAGCACAGGGACAATATGGAGCCTGCAGTCTTAGTCGGATAGGAAGAACGTGTGCAATTGAAAATCATTACAAAGCAAAATACTTAAGGGCAAAATAATTAAGGACAAGAATGAGGCAGGATACAAAATAAATGAAGTAAGCCTGACAGAGTCTTGCTAGCCTGGGAAGCCTTCCCAGGACCTTGAAGAGGGATACAGACTGGGGACAAGGAGGCACCTGTGCAGTGACTGACCAGCAGCACGGCTCTCTACATTCTGAATATTTCATGGCTCCCATGAATTCTTAACTTTGTGTTTATTTATTGCATCAATAACCTTGCAACTTCAGCGGGAATTAACTCACACTACTTTGATTTTCCTCTCTCACAATCCTTGTCCATGCATATATTAATCCAATATCATATTAATATTTACTAGATTTTTTCAATGTGTTTTTCTATGATTAACATGTTCAATATCACAATATATTTTTAGGATTTATCACATAATTTTTAACAGCTACATAATTTTCCAAGAAGTAGATGCACCAAACTTTCTTTCCGCCTTCTCCTAGCATTCATTCCATGTATATGTTGTATCTAATTATTGATCACCGGAGCTAACTTTATCATCTATCTGAATGCATGCAGCTAGCTTTTTCTGCCTTGTAAATTATTTTCTTAACATAATTTGCCATATGTGAGTAAAAGGAAAGGGACAAATTGCTTTTCGAAAGATTATACAAATGTACACTCCCACCAGCAGAATACAGGGTATCAAACATGCCAGTTTTGGACTTTATTCTTGATTGGGACTTTATTCATGGGTGCTTAACTTTGTACTTGTTGAAAAGGAATTGTTTTTACAGTGTGCCACTGTTCGTTTGGTGTTGGTACATATATGTGTGTGCATTTCATCACATTTTCCATGTGGATTCATGGACAATTCCTGGAAGACTAAGTAAACTATTAAGGATGTTAGTTCTGGGGAGTAAAATTGCAATGTGGGGTTGGAGTAAGACACTTTTGTATCATATACGCTTTGGTGCTATTCAAATTTTTTGTCATGAGTTTTTATTATAATTAATTAGAAAAACAGAAAAAGAAACTAAACAATCTAAAGACAAGGCCATTGCAGGGGTTAAAAGCTAAGGCACTGGTGGCAGACATGAGTTTGAATCCTTGCACTGCCATTGACTAGTTGTATGATCCTGAATGAGTTTCCTTAACTTTTCCAAATTCTATTTTTGTTATCTAAAAAAATATGAAAATAATAATACAGTCTCAAAAGTTGCAAAGGCTCTCAGCACAATGACTATATATAAGAGTATTCCCTATTTAGAGGAAGGGACCATCCTTCCTTCATTTTCCAGGCTGACCACTTGAGCTTTCACACAATAAACTCTTTTTCAGCATCTTCTCTGTATAACCCAGGTGTGCACTAGTTGCTATGAGAAAACAAAGTAGAATAGAGTGTCTGTTTCTAAGAATTGACAAGTGCTTGCTCCTTTTGCTCCATTTTCAATTATGCCTTCCTCAAAAGAATAAAAACAATGGCATTGCTTTGGAGGATGCAGTAACTGAGGAATATGGGAGGTAAATCATTAATTCTTACCAAAAACAAAGCATAAGTATTAATTCTAAAGTACCAGTGAGTGGATCAGTGTAGGACAAGAGTTTCCAAAGAGCATTTTAAGTCTCCCTCCCACCGCGTGAGCGAACATGGTCTGGAACACATACTTTGTTTGGAATGTTGATGTCACTTCCTGCTGCCAGCAGCACTTTACTGCACTCCTCATGACCTCCTTCAACAGTCAGAAAGAATGGTGTTTCTCCACTCTAACAAAAAGAGAAATAAGTTAAATTCAATTGCCTCTTGTCATGGAACGAAATTACTTGACAAACAACATGCTTTTTCTTTGCCTTTTGTCCATTCCTCTTAATAATGGATAGCATTCATTGAATGCTATGTGTCAACCTGTACTGCCAAGACTATATGCTTTGGCACAGTTAAATCACACAATGCTATAAGAGCAGGGTTAATATTATCCACGTGATAAAGATAAGAAAACTAAACCTCAGCTGAAAAGTGTCAAAGTGGCTGGGCTCAGTGGCTCAGTGGCTCAGCCTGCAATCCCAGCACTTTTGGAGACTGAGGCAGGCATGATGGCAGATGCCTATAGTCCCCACTACTCAGGAGGCTGAGGCGAGAGGATCACCTGAGCCCAGGAGGTTGTGGCTGCAGTGAGACAGGATTGCATCACTTCACTCTAGCCTAGGCAACAGAGTGAGACCCCTGTCTCCAAAAAAAAAAAAAAGAAAAGAAAAAGAATCTCAAAAATAAGGAATTATAGTGCAGTATGAAACACAAAATTAGATGTACATTTGTACCAAGTATAGCTTTAATCTTTACAACTGATTAAATGTGACATGACATTTAAAAAAAATAACATTAATTTTTTAAAAATCTCAGTACTTCAGTTTCCTGAAACTCAGGATAAATATTAGGAGATCAAAGTAAAAGTTTAATACAGGCCAAAACATAGAGGAAAAAGAAGGAGCTGCTCCCACATAGTAGCTACTTGGCTATTTCCCTTTCCTCATGCAGACTCCTAAGAATATTGGGAAGAAATGCAGAATTCCTTCCCCATTCCCTATCAATTTCCCTCCTTGGACATTATTCTGCTTAACAACTGCCTTAGGATAAATTCAGAAGGCTTTACTCACAGCTAATTAGGTATGAACAATCATGTTAGCAGGAACACAAGAGCACAGAAACCAGTGTTTCCATTCCAGCAAGATGGGAAAATCATATTCCAGGCTGCTTTACCTGGGTGCCTGGAACAGCTATCTGCTTACAAAGGAATTTCTTCCCATAATCTTTCTTTTAATTTTCCTGGGAAAATAGATGCAAAAAGACAAATCCCAGCGGAGAAATATTTGTAAAAAATGTGTAAAGGAAATAATTGATGTCATGAATATATCAAGAGACTGATAAGGTTTCATATATTGGATCCTACAATCTACCTCTAAGAATATACCCAAAGGCAATTGTGAGGGATTCAGACTACAGTTAATATACAAGGAGGTTTGTGGAAGCACTACCTGTAATAAACAAAAACTGAAACTAAATATTGAAGAGCTAAAGAAGAGTAAATGAATTTGGGGCAGCTACAAAAATATATCGTACATGAATGTATAGGAACACAAAGGAAACTGGAAGTAAAATACATCAGATGTGTATAAGACCATCCTTTGAGCTGGGCATGGTTACTCACACCTGTAATCTCAGTTGCATGCGAGACTGAGATGGGAAGATCACTTGAAGCCAGGAGTTTGAGACCAGCCTGAGCAACATAATGAGACCCTATTTCTAATAATAATAATTACTTGAGTTTAGAGAAAATATAACACTGCTATTTATTTTTTATCTTGCATTTTTAATGTATATTTCTAGCATAAATGTATATATGATAGATAGTTCAAACTTTCTTTACCAACATGAGTTTGCTACCAAGAATGTCTAGAGACCACTGCTCTAGAGCACATTCATATGGGTCTGGCAATATCTTGTATCAGGAAACAGAGGAAGCCCCAAACATTATGAATCATACCCCAAAAAATAATGTTATTGCTGTGCCCTTAATTTTGTGCAAATGAAACTATCATAATCTGAAATTAAAGTTTCTTGGGCTTTATGAGTTTTCCCCAATGTGCCTTGACTCCAAAATAGCTAAAAGGTAGATGAAATCTACGTGCATGCACACATTTCAGTGTTTGTTTGTTTGTTTGTTTTGAGACGGAGTCTCACACTGTCACCCAGGCTGGAGTGCAATGGCGTGAAATTGGCTCACTGCAACTTCCACCTCCCGGAATTCAAGCGATTCTCCTGCCTCAGCTTACCCAGTAGCTGGGACTACAGGTGTGCGCCACTACGCTCGGCCAATTTTCTGTATTTTTAGTAGAGACAGGGTTTCACTGTGTCAGCCAGAATGGTCTTGAACTCCTGACTTTGTGATCCCCCTGCCTCAGCCCCTCAAACTACTGGGAGCCACCGCACCCGGCCTGCAGTGGTTTTAATACGTTTTAATAGAACAGGGAAAGCATAACTGAGACTAACACTCCTGTGACTACAGGACTTGATCTCTGCTCTGGTTGGAATGTTCGTGTCCCTTCAAAATTCATGTTGAAACTTAAATCCCCAATGGAATAAGATTAAGAGATGGCCTTTATGAAGTGATTAGGTCATGAGGGCTAGCTCAGTCAACCAGGTGGATAGAATTGTCATTGTTTGAGCACATGCATTACATTGGAATGGGTATCAGTGGCTTAGAAGAAAATCTTAGAAACAACAGGGGCCAGGCACGGTGGCTCAAGCCTGTAATCCCAGCACTTTGGGAGGCCGAGGCGGGTGGCTCACGAGGTCAAGAGATCGTGACCATCCTGGTCAACATGGTGAGACCCCGTCTCTACTAAAAATACAAAAAATTAGCTGAGCATGGTGGCGCGTGCCTGTAATCCCAGCTACTCGGGAGGCTGAGGCAGGAGAATTGCCTGAACCCAGGAGGCGGAGGTTGTGGTGAGCCGAGATCGCGCCATTGCACTCCAGCCTGGGTAACAGGAGCAAAACTCCGTCTCAAAAAAAAAAAAAGAAACAACAGTGGGGCATTCTTTAAGAAATGCTGCATCTCTCATGCCACTGTACTCCAGTCTGGGTGACAAAGCAAGACTTTGATGCTATAAGAAAAAAAGAAAGAAAGAAAAAGAAAAAAAGAAAGAAATCATCAAGCCTCATTAGGATAGTGTTTTAGAAGAATCTAATTCAGCATGAAGTTTAGAAACAATTAACTGAGTTATCTTGCTTATTTTTTTTCCTTTATACATGCATGTAAAAAAACTAAAAGTCTAAAAACATCTTTAAATAGGCAGCATAAAATAAATATTTTAAGTGATAATAAATATTTTTGTCATAGTTAGATGGCAGCATGATTTTTTCTGAGTGTTACATAAAATAATAATGTGCCTTAAAATCAATGGTATCTTAAGGTAAATGCTTATGATATTAGTTCTTTTGGTAGCTCTCAGGAGAGGCATCAAGTTTAGAAATTACCAGAACATTAAACTGTGAAATACAAGAGGACTCCACTGACCTGAGTTTCCAAAGAGCCAAACAAAAAGTCACTCTAGCATAGGTTAAGAAATGACCATCCAGGGGCAACTGACTCACAAATCTGCCTGCACAGCCACAGCCATATCCCCTCCACCAAATCCAGAACCAGTGTCTTTTTTTTTTTTTTAATAGTTGGAGTCTCACTCTGTTGCCCAGGCTGGAGTGCAATAGCATGATCTCGGCTCACTGCAACTTCCGCCTCCCAGGTTCAAACGATCCTCTCACCTTAGCCTCCTGAGTAGCTGGGACTATAGGCATCTGCCACCATGTCCAGCTAATTTTTAAATTTTTTGTAAAGATGAGGCTTTGCCATGTTGGCCAGGCTGGTCTCAAACTCCTGACCTCAGGTGATCCACCCACCTCAGCTGCTGAAACTGTTGGGATTACAGGTGTGAGCCGCTGCGCCTGGCCCCGGAACCAGTTTCTAGCTGGCTAACACTCCACCTGACTGTACCCACCTCCCAGGTGCCTCAAACAAAATCCATTCAAGCCCTCATTATGTATGCCACTCACCTACTCCTCCCCTGTAACCCCCAGCAACAGCCCAAGCGAGAGAGCTGGGGGCAGAAAGTCCTTCCTCTCCCTGAGACCTGGTCACAAGTCCTGAGGACTCTGCCTCCTCCTACCACTTCATCTTGTTTGTTGCTCATGAGTGTCTCAGTGAGAGGCCTTTCATATGTCTTGCTTCCCCCATTTTGGCAGTCATCTGATTGGTCCTCCCCTGTTCTGGGCTCTCCTGGCACCAGTCTACCTTTCAAATGGCTGTGACAGTTACCTGCCCACAGCTAAGATGAATCTCATCCCTTTTCACTGCTTAAAACCCTTCAAGGTCTCTTCTGGCAAGCACATCAAAGCTAAACCCTCCCTCCCATAAAGCATGACCTTTCATCGTCTGTCTGCCTTGGCCCACTAAGCTTCTGGCTTTCCCAGGCCTCCTATCCTCAGTTTCTGCCACCTTGAACTTGTCAGTCCCAGAACACACCATACTCTTGCCTTGGTTCTTTTACTTGGACCCTTCCCTCTGTCTGAAATACTTTATACTTGTGCCATCCTCAAAATCTCTCCTGCCAATGTTCATTGCAATGCCAAGACCCAGATAATATATCACCTCTTCTGTGAAAACTGAAATTTCTGAAAAACAGCTTCCTCTGTGTTCTCATAGCATTCTCTGTAGACCTCTGTTATTGCATGTAACCCAGTACATTATTTGTTTTGCATGCTTTTCTTGCCCTGTGGGCTTCTAGAATAAGAACACATACTTCATCTGGCATACATAAATTTTTTTGGATGAATGGGTAAATAAAGGAATGGTTTAACAAATGAAGTGCTGTGAGATACTTCGAAGAACAAACTAAGAACGTTGTGCACCCAATGGCACTAACACTTTTGTTTTCCTCCCACTACTTTCTTGAAAGCCATTCCTCCAACCCTTCCCTGTTTAAGTCCTGTGTCCATAGTGAGCATTTCCACATACCTCATTCATCTCATTTATGTCTTGCCACTGGGTTAGCAGCACCCGCACTGCAGGACTGTGACCATGCTTCGCAGCGAGGTGCAGGGCAGTGTTTCCCTCCTGCAACAGAGACACACTGGAGGTAGAATCCCCTGTGCCGGGAGAGCATGCTCCTTCAATAGCAAGACTGCAGTGGAGTTTCTGGAAGCTTCCATTTTGGTTAAAGCTACAGTCTAAAGTGTGGACCACAGTATCTTCTGTTTTAAGTGAAATTTATATATTTTTAAGTTTTAAATAAAAAGGCATAGCTTTTTGAACCCGTAGAAAAAAAGCCATCCATGTGCCTTGTTCTAACTTTGCCACCAATTGATAGCAACATGTGGAGTGACAAAAGAAATTCCATTTAACCTTTGTAAGGGTAAAATGGTGAAAATTTTCTGTGAGATCACTTTAGCAATATCATATATCAAAACTTTTTAAAAATGTGCAGAAGGCTTTGACCCACTACTCTACATCTAGGAATTTCTCCTGAGAAAGTCATGAAAGATGTATATATAAATATAGACGTCTACCCCAGGATTTTTTCCTCCCCTTTCATATAGGGCTGAGCCTCCAGGAGACCTCACGGGAGGAGAGGAGAGGGGTGGAGTTGATCATGGAAAATTCCATGTAGTCTATTGATTCCACAAACATTTATGAAGCAAAAAAATACCAATCTGGACAACCCACAGAACTAGTGGAAGGATTTTGCCTGGATAGTTCATGATTCTCTCTGAGTACAGTAACAATTTAACAACTCTCCTGCTGACTAAAATGCCCTCACCAAATCTACATGCCAATTGTTACCCCCTACATCAATTGTTACTCCCCTTTCTCTTGTTCTCAGCAAAGATATAAAACCCCAACTCACCTTGTCCTTTTCTGAAGTATGCAGGTTTAGGAAGGTAAGTTTTTCTATCATTTCAACATGGCCCCTCTCAGCTGCCAAAAGAAATGGTTTTCTTCCTTTCTAAAAACGAATACAAACTTCAAGCCTTTATTACACTCTTAGTGAACAAGCAAGACAATGGACAAAGCTAGTGGCATTTTAAGGATGATGGGGAGTGCAAGATGGCTCTTCCTATGGGAGAAAGATGATGCTATCTCTGATTCCCAACCAGATTCAGTTCTGAGTTTTCACTCAAAACTGTGGGAGACTCTACATCAGCATGAAATCTGTTTAATGGGGGACAACAAATACTGTTCAGAAAAGGTCCTCTCAAGCATCAGGGGAGACGTAACATCACAGGCAGATGACAAGATTCCCTTTCAAATATAGTAATTTATAAACTTTATTTATTCAATAGTTCTTTCACCATTTACTGAGAAGCTACTACGTGCCAGACCCTGTCTCAGGCACCTGCACATCATACTAAGCCTTCCCTTACTGATAACAATGTTTGAAACAGAAATTTTCTAGGGCTAATTATTTATGTGGCTCATTCTGACAGGACATTTGATTAACTACTTCTCCTTAGGCCCTCCCTCCTTCCTCATAGATTTTTCTACAATATCTACTAAGAATCAATAGGAAAACTCATGAGAATAGGTCAATATGAAATGGAATTAAGAAATGAGGCTTTACCCAGAGACTATAGATGTAGAGAAACGTTTAGGTTTGACTTTTTTAGAAGATAAGTTCAAATATAGAATTTTCTGATTATGGAATTCCTCCTACTTTTCATGTTGCCATTGGAGACTGCGTTTGCCATAGCCAAAATGTCATCAAGAAAAGTGAAAGACATGTCTTAGTCTGTTTTGTGTTGCTAAAACAGAATATCTCAGGCTGGGTAACTTAAAAAGAAAAGAGGTTTATTTAGCTCACAGTTCTGCAGGCTGGGAAGTTCAAGGGCATGGTCTTGGCTTCCAGCAAGGCTTTCCACACTGTTCCATAACATGAGAGAGAAGGTCAAAGGGATGTGAACATGTATGAAGAGACAAAACTCAAGGGGCATCCTAGCTCCCACTCTTGTGGGAACAAGTTTATTCCTATGAGAATGAATCTAGCCCCATCAAAGTGAGAACTCACTACCTGAAGAATGGCACCAAGCCATTCATGAAAGTTCCACCCTCATGACCAAACATTTCCCAATAGGTCCCACCTCCTAACACAACCAGATTGGGGATCAAATTTCAACATGAATTCTGATGGGGACAAACCATAGCCAGACTATAGCAGATCCACAGAAAATGTAACGTTCTAAGTTGAGATAATTAAAAGAAGTTAAAGAAAGTTGTGGTGGCAATATGATAGCAGAAATATTTTCTTCAATTAAAGAGAAGAAAACACTCACAAATTGGCTTAGTGTGTTACTGAAAGCTTAGCAAGGTGTCTTAATGTGAAAAAACAGATACGAGCCTCTTTATAAAAGGTCCTAAATATGAGATTAGTCATCTAACACTTGATAAAATAGGGGAATGAAAAGATCATGGTCACTGTTAACCTGAGATAACAACTCAGGAGCCCCCAGTAACTGGAGAAAAAAGGAAGAAAAAACCTAAAATAGTAAATAGCAAAAACAAAAACAAATCTATAAAATCCGTCCTACAGAGGTCTGTATTTATACATGTATGGAAGGTGGAGAAAACAATTTGTTCCAAAAAGTTCATCTAATTCATCATTCTGGGGCCATATATGTCACCAATGAGATCTACATCCTCAACCCTTCAAAGGGTTTAGTGATTTCATTCTCAGAAAATCAGCAAGAAATGGCAAAGGGAAGAAACAGAGACTGCTTGGAACCACAGTTTGCTGCTTTCAAGGTAAGAATTAATTGAAGGGTAAAATTTAATCTTGAGCCATGAACAACTCTTCATAAATGACAGACCAAAAATCATTGTGTCTGATATACATATATCTGCAAATAGTCACTACAGGTAAAGTTTCATGTAAACAAATCACAAAAGAGGGAACAAAAAACAGTGATTATACACTTGATGAAAACATCTGGTCACGCATCCTCATAAATCATTTATTCATTAATTCAACAATTATTGAGCATCGATGTATATGCCAGATAATGTGCTAAGCAATAGAGTGACCAAGCTGAGAAATATATCGCTCATCCTCAAGCTGGTATTTATAGTTCATCTGTTGTTCTTCCCAGTAGATGGAATTTCCAATTAGGGGTCATTTTATCATAATCTATGCTGCTTAGTAACATAGTTAATAATCTATCTAGTTTGCAAGGACACAGAGGCAAAAAGTTAACCAAAATTTAAATTCTCATGTAGAAGGAAAGGGGTTTTGTTAGCTCTTTACCCAGAGACCACAAATTATACATGAAGGTGTTGTGCCCTAGTGTGGCATTTGTTGCTTTTGCCTTTATATTTACCTTTTTTCTAGTAACAGCACTTCCATTTTACTTTGGAGAACAACCACACATACACATACACACCCTACCATTTAGTGCATTTAGTGCTGTCCATTTTCAGGCCTGCCTTCTGCCACAATATTAGACAAAATAACAATAGGAATTGCAAAGATATATGTGGTTTGTAAAAAATACAGTTTCTTATCATGTCCTTTATTTTTTTTAACCACCCAATCAATCCTTTTTCATCACATTCAAGTAGGCCTCTATCCAGGGCTGTCTCACAGGACCTCCCTTACATGGAAGGCAGGAAGTTTTTCCAGCCAGGAGCTCTGGGCTCTAGGCCTTGGGCAAATCACAATGACTCTCTGGCTCAAGATCCTGTCCCTTTAAGTACTAAAATAAGGTGAGTTCAGGATTCCTGTTCCATGTTTCCTCTATTAACTCAATGTATATTTAATCTGATTAAAACAGGGTCTTACTTTGTCATTCAGGCTGGAATGCAGTGGCATGATCTCAGCTTACTGCAACTTCCACCTTCTGAGATCCAGTGATCCTCCCATCTCAGCCTCCCAAGTAGCTGGGACCACCAGTGTGCACCACCACACACTGGTTAATTTTTTGTAGAGACGGGTTTCACCATGCTTCCCAGGCTGGTCTCGAACTCCTGAGCTCAAGAGATCCTCCCACCTCTGCCTCCCAAAGTGCTGGGATTAGAGGTGTGAGCCATTGTACCTGGCTAACCTGATATGTTTTAACGCAATGCATTTAATTTTTGTTTGCATGTAAGTCTGAGGGATTGGGACTGTTTATTATAAACTTTTTAAGTTTGCTGAGAAGATGAAGTTATCAAATTTGATGTCATCAAATTCAGCAAAAATTTCATAAATAGCCATTAAGTGGGTATTCAAAGTCCAACCTGACCTTCCTTTACCACAGGGATCTCTGAGATGTGCCGACCTCAGGATCCCCTGAGGAGAAGCACTGGGTGGGCCTCCAGTGCACAGTCCCACCTCACAACACTTCCCATCACCCCGGGATCAGGCACTTGAGCCAGGGGAAAACCCTGAATAACTAGAAATTTCAGAAGTTAAAAAAAATATATGTTTCATGAGATCAAAAAATAAAAAGCAGTGTGTTAAATATGAAAAAGTGGCACTGGTAGGGTGGGAGACACTGGGCTAGTTTTCCCCTTACATAAAGGAAATAATAGACTTGATTAAATCCAAAGCTGTTAAATGTTGCTTGCGGTCTATATAAGAAAACAGGTATCCTCTCAAGTCCCCTTCTACTCTCTATTCCCACCCCTTCCAGAAAAAGAATCTTCTTTGCATTTTGACTTCCAGAGAATTAAAACCATGGAAGTTCACCATATGCATAGCTGAAACCAACCTAACATTATACCACCAAATTCTTGTAAATATCCAAAAATATGAGTGGCATGTAAGGCCTTCCTATTTCCCTCCCTCCAAATATGTTAGTCTGAGCATTTATTTTTGATCACCAGATGGACATTTACACGTAGATTTGAAATGTCTTTACTCACAACTCCTGGCTGCTCTAATCTCTCTTCCTTGGAGAGGCCTTAATGATTTCAATGGGTGTGGAGCTGTGGGGAAATCTCAAAAGGTTTCCCAGCATGCTCCATCTCTCCCCACCCAAACTCCACCTGGCCTAGTTAAATCCAGTTTGTTTTAAGGGCCTCCTCCCAGGAAAGCTTTCCTTGTTAGCTTTTGGAGTTCCCTCCAGACCAAAAAGATGGATTTTACCAACCCTGGCAAGTACACAGGCTCTCAGTCACTATCTGTTGATAAGAAACTAGGCAAGAGAGTAACACTGTGAAGTTGAAGACATCTTTAATATCAAATGTATTTCATCAGCTTCACAATACCTTTAAGCAGATGCAAATGGGAAACCCAGCGCTAAATCAATAGACCCTGAGCTTCTGATCCCAGTTGCAACTGGCTTCCCCGCCCCCTGCATTTTTTTTATCATGATAAAGTATTTATAACAAAATTTATCATTTTAACCATTATTAAGTGTAGAGTTCAGTGGTATTAAGTATACTCATGTGGTTGTGTAGCCATCACTACCATCCATCTCTATAACCCTTTTCATCTTGCAAAACTGGAATTCTGTACTCATCAAACCATAATTCCCCACTTTCCCTTCCTCCTAGTTCCTGGCAACTACCATTCCAACTGGCTTTTGCCAACATATGTGACCCACTCACAGATCTTAAAAAAAAAAAGTAGATTTTTTTCTGTCTTTTCTTTTTTTTTTAATTTTTTATTTGATTATAGGTTTTGGGGTACATGAGCAGAGCATGCGAGACAGTTGCGTAGGTACACACATGGCAGTGTGCTTTGCTTTTCTTCTCCCCTTCACCCACATTTGGCATTTCTCCCCAGGCTATCCCTCCCCACCTCCCCCTCCCACTGGCCCTCCCCTTTTCCCCCCAATAGACCCCAGTGTTTAGTACTCCCCTTTCTGTGTCCATGTGTTCTCATTTTTCATCACCCACCTATGAGTGAGAATATGCGGTGTTTCATTTTCTGTTCTTGTGTCAGTTTGCTGAGGATGATGTTCTCCAGATTCATCCATGTCCCTACAAATGACACGAACTCATCATTTCTGATTGCTGCATAATATTCCA